TATTGTAATGAATAAAGTATGTGTATGTTCGATTGTACGTAGTAAATATCTTTGCAATATCTATAGACTAAATATATTTTATTTTAAATAATTTTATTATTTTTTAATTTTTACTAAAGGCGTATTCTGATATACACTGCCAGTACTGAAAATCTACAGTATATGTAACGTGAACTGTAGATTTTCAGTACTGGCAGTGCATATCGGAACACGGCCTAACTAGTATTATTTAGTTTTACTAGAACTTAATTTTCCGTTGTGACTCGTAAATTTTGAAATATTCTGATACAATAGTTAGTACACGTTCATTAATTAAGATTTTAAATAAGTACTTATACGAGGGTCGTTTGAAAAGTTTTGAGTCTCAATATGAAAATGGCGTTACTCATTAAAACCCATTCTGGTACTACAATCGTTTGCAAGATATTTGTGAAAATTGTAGTCATTTTAACTTCAAAACTTTTCAAACAACCCTCGTACTTTACATTCGAAATAATTAATACATTATGTATTATCACATGTTAAATTGTGTCAATGAAAAATAAATACTTTTGTTACTTTTTTATATAATTTTTGTATATTCTTTGTATGTCCTTTTAATATGCATTTTGCACTAATTAAATGTATAATAATAAATTTGTTAAGAATAACAAATATATCGGTCTCTTCACATATATAATCTATCATTTGCTCCATATTCTACTTGTATTTCAATGGTTTTCAACAATAATGCATTTGGCAATGGGGCAATATGCTGCGAAGATAATGTCGTAAAATTCTCGAGACTCGCTACATGTCTTCGTAATTGTATTTCTGTACCATTGTCACCCCAAGCGTGCAATATCCATTCCCATGTGTTCGAATACGTCATCTTGGCAGGATGTGTCATCCATGCTATTTCATCTCCATGCTATATAAGAATAATATGATTTTTATATTTCTGCAAAAGTAGTTATTTTTGTCTATGAACTATGTAATATAAAGCATTTTCTAAGATAAAAATATAGACTATATAATATGAATTCTTTGCAAAACTTCATATTATCAAATTTAATAATGCTAGATAAAGTAATCCAATCTTGATTCACATACACAGATATCTTATTTTTTTATCTCGTACATTCGAAATACTTTTTCTATCTTGTTCCGTTTTTATACACACGTATACACACAAATTGTAAAGATAATTTATTCTGAATTAAAAAATGACTATCTAAATTTTAATATGTATGTATCCTAAAAGAGTATATAAAATTTTTTCTATTTCCATCGTATATATATATATATATAATTACGATACCAATATATACGAATATTTTTAATTAACATTAAGATGAATCAAATTGTAATTGATTGTATTGGATAAAGTATACGGTAAATTTTATATACATTCAAATAAATATTTAATCCAAATAAAAGAATCATTAGAAGTAATAAATACTTTCTCCATATCAATATAATTAGATACTTACGTACAATATAATTGAAACAACGAAATGATACGAACTTTGAATTGTTTTGTTAAAGATAAATATGTTATACCTGAAAGAAAAACATGTTGCTTCCATGATGGAATATGTAAAGAGCGTCGCGTCCGAAAGGAAGCGGAAGAGGAATTCTTGCGCTTCCAGAATAGAAATGAATTTGCGGCACCTTATGAGTCTTGATATGTTCCAGCAGAGAGTCAGACATCACTACTTCTGTACAAGATTGCAAAAGCGGACATATCAGCTGTATACAAGACACAGAATCCGTGGAGCCACCCCAAATTGGTGTCTCAGGTAAACTTAGCGATTGCTGACTAGCATTCGCTGCAGATGATTCAACAATTTGCGAAGAGTCATTAATGCGAGCTTCGCTGTCCTTCGACAATTCGCCGGTACTGGCTGATTTAGTGCGATCATTCAATCGCACGCGTAAACTGTTAACATCTCCATTAGGAATCGCCACGGTTTCTTCCGACATGTCAGATACTCGTATTAGATTATCCACGGAGGCGGCTTTCTCTCTGTCCCCGAGCAACAATCTAGCTAATAAGAATTGTCTCGGTTTCGAAGCAGTACAGTTGTTCTTTGACTGATTTATAATTGGAGTCTCTCGCTTCTTGCTAGTTTTACCAAACAATTGATCACGTAAGTTACAACGATCGGTTATAATAGATGTTTTGTCTATTTTCTCGTCGTTATCCATGTTAAAGGCATCGCGAAGTGCTCTATGCAATTTATCTGCTAGAAGACATCGGCCTTGGCCAAGCCGGACTCTACAGACCGGACAACGCGTCGTTTTCGGCCTGCAGACGACGCACAGAATATGACCATGAACACATTGTGAGACTGGAGGCGCAGCGCTTTCTAAGCAAATTGGGCATTCCAAGGCACGGACCTAAAAAAGAAAATTATGACAAACACATCCTTGATGCTTCATTCGAAAAAAAAAATTTTATTTTTAATTAGTATTTAAAATATTTAATTATGTTACACTGGTATGGAGGGAAAAAATTATGTTTATGTAATTGTAGCTTATAGTTTAATTTTATAATATTAGTTTCTTGGATTTAATAATAGATTGACCAGTTAATGATTAATTGTGCGTTGTTAATGATAGAAGACTAATAATAAGAATTCAATGAATAATATAAAAAATAAATGATTATTAACACGATCCGCTCATTTAATAAATGATCTATAAAAATAAGAAAAAAATAAAAGTGACTCTATATTTTGTGAGTTGTAAAATGTGCATGCGCACCGTTCCTGATAATGCATTTGCAAGATTTCTGGCTACATTTGGAAGTGGACCCTTCAGAGCTAGCCCACTATCATTCTGTTCCTCTTTTTGATGCGTGTATCTCCAAATAAAAAAATTTAAATCTCGCACATCTTCCTCATTATGAATTAAAGTAGCAACGTCCTTGATCTTTAGCCCCAATAAATCGATGTCGTCAATGCTCAATAAACAATCACCCGCTCTAAGTGATGGAGCATAATAAGAAAACAATTTATGTGTGAAATTAATTTACGCAAAAATATACTTATACTTGATTTAATATATAAAATTACGTGTTATATCAATATATGTATAACTTAAAAAAATATATATACATTTTCAACTTTTGTATCTATGCGATGTACTCAGTAATTTTTAAAATCGGGTAAAACTCACCTTAATCCTGCTAAGTCAGCAGGAGTATTATTTTCGACATAGCCGACCCACGGATACGGATCCCATTTTGATTTGGTCAAATGAAATCCATAAGATTTACCATGTATATATGATTCCACATTGCCTTTCCGCATTTTAAGAACCATTTTTCCTGGCGGAAGTAAATCTTCTTTGGGTAGAGACGTAACGATTCTCACGCCTGCCGCTTCCGCCAAAATTTCAGGATACGAAAAATGCGACATGTTTTTTCGCACTTTATTATTATTATTTGTTTTATTAATACTATATATATATGTATAAAGAGTAAGTTATTTTACATAACATTCTTCACTTTCACTTTCAACCATATGAATTTTTCTTAATAACAGAGTATAACATTCGAATAAATTCGAATAAACATTCGCAATTTATTCATGGACTTTATCGCTCAATACGTGTCAATTCATTTTGATCTTCAAAGTACTTTGAACAAGAGCAGTACTGCTGTGGAAGCATTGAGTCGTGTCTGATCTCTTAGCGAAAGAGAAAAGTCACTTACTTGTTTACCTTCACCCATTTACACATTCTTGACATTGAATCTTACGTCATATTACGATGAGACGCACATCGTTTTCCTTTTTTATTCTAATACACATCAATACAATGTTTCGGAAATATTTTCAATGAAAATTGCATTTCGTACAGCTATACATTATATTCTAATTTATATAATATATACATACTTAGCAGTCTTTATAATATGAAAATGGAGTAATACTTTAATTAATTAAGATTCTTAATACTTTACAATGGCCAAAATTAAACGATGCCATACTAATTCGTGATCGTATTAATATAAACGTATTACGCAATGTTTACATTTTGTTATAACGCATAAATAAATAACATATTTTGTATTAGTTTTCATTTGAAGTAAATAAAATATAAGGGAATGTATTATTCTGCTTAATATATATGTATGGTATATATACATACACACATATATATATATATATATATGTACACACATATATACTGACAGATGTTACAGCCAAAGCGTTAACTCAATAAAGACCGGTTGTTTCATCTTTTTGGTAAATTTTACCTGTTGGATAAGTAGCAAGATTACCCAATCACATCCGCAGATTACCAGATTTATCTCACAGGTAAAATTTACCAAAAGGTGGAACAATCGGCCCCAAATGTATACACTTACTGTAGTCTACTGTAGTCAAGGTATACATTTACTAAAATTAACACTTTGACTATGACATAAAAAAACATAATGCTTTGTACGTTTTAATACAATACGTAATATGTATCTTACATTCTCGATTATATGGTATTGTTACATTGGAAGAACATACACCGAGATTGTCATTAGCAGGCCTAGATTAAAATGGCAAACAAAACGGCAATTGGTTTTATATACATTGTAGAGAAAAATGTATTTATATTATATAACTCATGACACAATTGCAGGAAGATCAAGTGTAGAAAAATTTTAACATAAAAAATATACAATAAGTGAAAAAATTCTCGTCTTTATTACATAATGTAATAAGATCAACTCAACATTCAAAGAATCTACTATTAAAATTTAATGAGACAATGTACCTTTGGTTTTTATTTTCAATGGGACAAATTAAAAAACTGTATTTCCTCTATGATCGAATGGAAATAGCATAAAGGCCTACTAACCATTAACATTCTATTTACAATAAAAAATAACCTTGTTTTATAAAAATTAACTAATTATTTAAAATCAATTATTTATAACAATTATTAAAAAATAGATACTTGTATAATAGCAAGAGGTATCAATCTCATTTTTAATTGTTTACGTCTAAAGTCAGTTCTAATTATAGATAAGTACATAATTGTTTAAAATAAAATAGTATGGATGTTGCATGACAGAGAAGATAATCTTACATATTCGCAGGTATAAAAATCTCACAATATTGACAAGCATAAAAATAGATGATTAACTTCCTACTGATATAATATGTTAAGACATTGGCTCAGTGTATGCAAAGTGGTATGCGCCATAGCTTTGAGAACTAAGAGATCAGAGTCCAGATGCAAATCCGAATTTTCAATAGATTGTGCTAGAGCAAGATTGTGCTTCTCCACCTTTCTCAATTGTTCCTGGCAATTGGCAAAGGCATCTAATACTTCCAGCTTAACAACAGGATTCCTACTCGAATTCCCAGAATGTTCTCGTGGTGGCAATGGAGGATGGCTGCTGGCTATCGCCCTAGTATACATTTCTGTGACTGCTCGTAACTTATCCACCCATTCCTGGCGTGCTCGTGCATCTGTGGCTCGTAGTTTGATCATGTCACCTGAAAAGATATCGCGAAAACTTAATAGTCAGATTAAATCAAACATCTATATTTATTATAAGAAAAACAATCAGCAATGATTTGATTTAATCAGATATATACCAGTAGCAGAATTGACGGTGAATGTGTTAGAATCTTCGTCACTGGGGGCTATTACAGCTCCTGCTAGATAAATCGAACACCGTGGCCTCTGATTCTTCTCAGACTCGCTGAGAAAGTAATGCAGCTCGCCGGTCTCTGGACTCAAGATAAACCAACGGTATTGCCAGCCCTTCATGGCATTCGTATATTTGTGTAGCAAACCCTCGTAAGGGTGTCTCGTTTGCACGTTCATTGTTTATCACTCTCGCTTTTTAATTGGAAGCCTTTTACTTGATGAACAGCAGGACTTTCGCGCGAGATATGTCATTTGAGTTAAAGCGATCGTGCTCGGTCAGTCGCTATCTAGAGAGAGGTTAGGTTATCGTAAAAAAAAAAAAAAAAAAAGAAAAAGATTAAAGATTCCGTCATCTATTGCAATCCATTGTCACGCTGTGTATGGTGAAACCATGGAAGAAGACACCATAACTGTAAATACGCAGCAATTTACATATTCTATCGTTTCACTTGTGACCAGCTCGATACTTTAATCTTACGAATAGTCCAATATTTCCATAAAATTCGTTTATTTATACGAATCATTTAAGTAAGTAGGTACTAGGTCTGCCCATCGAGCAATTAAACATGATTGGTTGGATTCACAGGTAAAAATCAATGGGCGCGTTCAAGTTGACAAAGCGGCTAGTCTGCTCGTCGAGTAAATGAACATAATTGGTTTGTTACTTATAGATCCAACCAATCATATTCAATCACTTGGTAAGCATGCCTAGCCACTTTGACGTTTTGAACTCAACCATTTTATACTCATTCGCTCGGCAAGCATGTCCAGCCACTTTGCCGGCTAGAACTTGCCCAATGATGTTACATTATTTATGTATACATAAAATAATATATATTATTATCCCTTACCGTACCATCTACAATTTGGTGCCTCATTCATACCATCAAGGGTCACTTCAAATCTCTTCGTTTTTTCACCTCTTTAAAATAATTTTAAAAATCGCTAAAAATTTACCAACATACTTTCAACTTTCTAGAATAAATATTGACTATTTTGGAAAATAATAAAATGTAGTATATAATTTATAATTACCGAAAGACTCAAAGAAACTTGCACGAATAGGAATTGCTCGGTCACTAGTTACCCATATTAGTACGGTAAAGGTTATTATTATCATTTACAATATTACGATATGCGATATGTAATAAAAAAAAAATGAGATATAATCTTTTATATAAAATACATAAAAGTAGCTCAAATTGCTCAAGAAAAAATAATTTTTTTAAATAATTAAAATCGTTAATAAATATATATGAAAAAAACAATATTATGAGAAACTGATATGCTTCGATTTTTTTATTAAGAAAAATACAGTCTCTATTTTAAACTTAAATATTCATAGCAAAAAAACGTCTTCGCAAGTATAAACTAAACATGGAAATAAAACTAGTTCTCGAAAAACAAAATATGATAACAGTAGACTGAAACATCAAATAAAAAGAGTCATGTAAGTTAAAAGTAATAATCAAATACATAATTATGTCCACTATTTAAAATATATAAGTGACAACGCAGTCTTTAAGATCAAAAATCTTTAAGATCAAAAATTATCTTAATTCTACACAAGATCACATAATCTATCAAATACGCAAATTAAAATTTTTACGAAGACTACACGAGACTGTGTTTAATTAGCATGTCATGAACGTCTGGTACTTCGATTTTATAACAGCCATCTTCAGAGTATTCGACAATTTTAATTTTGATGAATGAATTTTCCGTTATTAACTCCTTTAATTTCTTCTGTACCGCTTCCGAATGCTGTCCATTACGGTCGACTGGTGCTAAATCTGTAACACAAACAATAGATAAATTTGAATATAAGAATTACCTTTAAATTAAGATGGAATCATATGATGTTCAATTTCTTAAATGATAAGCAAGCATGCACGTGTGCATACATGCATGTTGATATGCTTGCTTTAATGCATAGTCTGACGTTTGATAAATAACTATGAAATTAGCAATTATTTCTTTTGATTAGTTCATGCAAGGAAATAAGCTATAAAGTAATCGACGCGAAACTCGCATTAATTAGAAATTATAAAAAATTTACACAAAAATATTATTAAAGTGCAATATATATCAGTATGCAGCACTTAATATATAAACAAATTGTAGCATACATCAGGCATGTCTACATGCATGCTTGTCATTCAAGAAATCAAATAACATGTAATTCCATCTTTATTAACAACTTTGATACTCACTGACAAGATTACACATATTCGCAAATGCTTGAGGTAAAATAAAGTCTTTGGGCATTAATCTTATATCTTTATGCTCTACTAATTCTACATTCCCATAATCAATAAAAAAAATTTGAGCTGTCCTTTGTGATTCCTTAGGATTGAGACAGACTGCTCGATACCAACTCCCATCGTACAATGCCAAACATAATTCTTGCGTTCTCGGAATATAATACTCCATTTTTTCACAATACTCTTTCAACTACAATAAAATAAGATTATACATTATTGTGTGATAATAAACACTTCGTAATAACATTTCATTTACCATTGCCGGCATCACTTCGAAGATATGGGTCATTAATTCAAAATCTTCAGGACCAATCATGTATGATGTTACATCCTCCTTCACTGCATATACTACCAGTGCATTTACTGTATCACCCACACGTCCTAAACTTGCTATTTTGATGTCGTTGAACATATAGCATGTGTTATCTGTACAAAATTATAAATTTGCAGTTCTTTATAAAACAAAATATACATATATTACGAATATATGGCAATATATATACATATAACAAAATGATCAATGTACTTGAAGTACAAAGAAAGATATAATACATCGACGAATTTTTTATTAAATAAAAATTATCTTGCATGTTAAAATTTTTAAGGGTTTCTTACATTAAGGGAATTACTATTGAAAGATAATTAAGTAGCAACGTAATGTATTGAAATTCTTTGTATAAATTGTGATGAGAAATATTACATTATTTTCTAAAAATATTATAATTTGTGATTAATTACCATTATTATTTGCTTGTTTCCATCCTGGGATTAACAGCTGATTTATTTTATCATTAATACATTCTCCTGTGTCGGCAATCGTCAAACGAACTCCATCCTTGGATAAACCCTCGAATGTACATATTAGAGGCATTTCTGTACCTGATATATGGCGAAGATACATGTCAACTTCTTGATTCATGGGTATGTCACGAGGTACATCTTTTAAGATTACTTTTATCGCACAGCTTTGTTGCTATAACAAGCATATAGACTTTGATATACAAATTAACATGTATTTTTTTAATTAATGGAAATAATCAATTTTCATATTATATCTTAAATATATGTTACATTATGTTATGTTGCATTTTATATTCTTTAATCCAACTTTTATATCATATTGTTAATTTTATGTTTCGCTTTTGCGTTTTTACAAATGTTAATTATCTACTCTTTTTTCTGATTAGAGTAGCAGATTTTGCTGATGTCTTACCATTTTGTGCACCTATACTTTTAATTTTTCCCGTCAAATTCTATAATTGCTATGTTATTTGTTTATTTTGTAATTAATGCACAAATAAATTAAAATTGAAATTGAAATTAAATAATCCTATATATATTTTTGGTCAAAGTGAATTTTAACGTTTAATAATATCTACTACATATAAATTTTTTTCAAATATATTTCAGTTTTATAAACAATGTTTTTATCGTCTTAATATGCACATCAGTACCTGTGAATGATATGGCATGACTTTAAGATCTTTTATGTCAATTTCAGTTAGGTTACCGAAATCAATATATACTATCTGAGCTTTATTATTCTGTGTCTTAAGTACCATTGCACGGTAACTGTTACCATCTTCTTCGAATGGCGCAATCACTACTTCTTTATCAGGTGGAGGTTCGGTTAGGTATGGTGCTGCAAAGTGAAAAAAATAATTTGCAATTCTTTATATAATTGTCAATTTATCTCATTATATTATTCAGTTATTTTACCTGTTTGTGCATATTGTGCAACAGATTGCATAACATTATTATAATATTCTACATCCGCTTCTTCTAAAGAGCGTGCAAACATACAATAATGATTTCGGTAACTTGTAAGACATATCTAAAATCAATCAACAGAAACAATGAAACTTCAATCAATAATAAAGTAATAATAAAGCAATAAATATATTGATATGTTATCGTTTATTTGCTACAACATAATTAAAAACAAAATTAAAAAATTAGAAAATTACAATAAAAAAATCACTTTTACACATTATTCGTAAAAAAGAAACAGAGAGAGGAACATTTAAAAAAAAAACATGTAGAAGTACATACTTTTATTCTACAATTAGTTTTTACATTATTAATTGCATTTTAAATTTAATAATTTAAAATATTCGAATTTATTTTCTGAAAAACTTTTTTTTTAATTGTATTATGTTGTAGTAAATAAGTGATATTATACCTTAGATCCACTCTTTAACTCAAAATTTGATAAATTTGTCAGTTTCCAGGTCCTCAGTACAGCCTGTACCACTTCAGAATTTACATATATTTGAATTTCGAGACTTTTTTGTTTGTTGCTATTCTCATTTATAATTGATGTAAACTCGTAATTGTGCTCCATCTTGTAACATAACAAAATAAAAATCTGTATCTGTATCTATAACTTGTATCAATAGACAAAATACTTCAAAGGTACCTACTTTCAAGACAGTAGAATTATTTATTTCGCACATTACTCCAAAGGCACAAATATCCAAATACTTTTTGGGACATGGTACAATTTCATTTACTTGAAGAATTCTTGCCTCGTCTATTGCAAAAATGGAATCGGGATACGTCGAAATATATCCTCTGTACCAGCATTCCTTGTAACCGCAAACCAATTCTCCTGCTTTTGGTCTAAAAAATAAAATACTTCAAGTAACGAAAAAGCATTATCAGTTTGAACTGGATCTTAGGCCAGTATTCATAGTCGATTCTTATATTTCAGACCGTCTTAAGTCCTAAGATATAAGCCAATCAGAGGATCTTATTAACATCGTAAAACATTACTTAAGACGATCTTGAAATAAGAATGGACTATGAATGAATGCCGGCCCCTTAATGCTGAAATATTTCGGTATGAATTTATATACATATTTAGTTCTGCAACTACGCACCGAAATCTCATTAACAATCTTTAAACGCAATCTTAAATCAAACTGAGGCAGTAATATGACAAATTAAATTAAAAGTAATTCGATAAGACTGATGTTAGCAAGCATCATGAAAAAAACTGTAAATAATCTGATGTTAATTAGAATCTTAAAAAGCTGTGAATTTATTATGAAAAAAAATCATCTTAGCCAGGATACCAACATGGATCTCCTCGTGACAGATATTGTCTTAACCAATTTGACTAGTAAGGCTGTGATATTTTGTCGCAATAACAAGTACATATGTATAAGAAAACATTTGTTAAAGGTACATGAAATAAACAAAATGCTGTAAGACCACAATGTGAATACAGAGAATAAATAATAAAGACAAGTAAAATACCCTATATATTTATTCCAATCTATGCTTAATGATATTCAGCAAATGTTAAAAAATTTATACTTATAAATTTTATGCATATACGTACTTGTAATCTGCAGGTATTTGTATTTTTGAACATTCTTCTTGTATATCTTCAAAGATCATCGTTACTTCAGTACTGAAAACTTGTGGAAGCAAAGTTACGCTGTAAACGTTCTTTTGCGTGGATTCAAATAATTGTATAAAACCGTCAATTTGCAACTTTGAACTATTTTGTGTCAAATCAGCCAAAGCATCTAAGACGCTAGGTATTTGAATCGTGGAAGCATTTGTACTTTTATTTGGTGATACCTTAATATCCTTTTGTGGTAATAACTTTTTTTTTGTACCATTTGAAACACTTTCTGTAGATGAAGATAAATTTTTTGCAATAGATTGCTCTTCAACTTCTACTATTATTGTTTTCTCAGAATTTAAAGTCAACATTCTAACAGAAATCTTCTCGCCTCGCTGTAGAATTTTATATTTATTACTTGTGCCTTGCATCAAACGAATTTTTCTAGCAAACTTAGGAAATTTGATCAGGTCACCAATATCTTTGATCTCACTACTTTTTCCTAGTATCTCATAGTTACCAAAGTCAATAAAGTGGACCTTAGTAGGATTCAGAGATGCTACCATAGCTCTTTGCCAAACACTTTCATATAAAACGCCGTAAACTTCACCAATAACTGGCTGCATATGACGTGATTTTGTTGCGATATCTTGTAATTTCGTCATTAAGTCCGTACGTGCATCTGTATCCTCTAATTTATATATCCAATATTCATTATTATCTAATGGTATTATAACTTCCACAGTTATAAATTTTGTTTTTGACAACTGTGTATCCTTGTAAAAAGCTAAATCGTTGTTCACCGAACTATTACTGGAAATACTTCCTTGTCTATTGGTATTTTCTTTGCCATTATAATCGGCAGAGCCTTTGTCACTTTGGAAGCTATTCCTTTGAGAATCATTTCTACCATTATTGTAAGTTTTATCTCTTACATTGCTATTATTATCATGTCTTTCTTTAAGACTGGGCTTTTTTGAATTGTTTTGATAATTACGGCTATATTGATTTCGGCCAAAGCTAGATGTTGGGGAGCATCCATTATTGTTTTTCGACTGATCAATACTCTCGTTAGTATTATTATGTCCGCGCAATCGATGCTGAGAAAATTCTTTAGTATTTGTGGCATTTACTACAGGTTGATCTACCATTTTAGTTTGAGAGTCATTAATATTATTAACACGTTGAGATGCAGATTTGTGTTTATCCTTAATATTGTTGATAGACATATGAGTAGCTTCTATATTACTTTCATGCTCATTGATATTTTCACTCGTATTATTCGAATAATCAACTTGCATCGCATTAAACGTATTAGGCCGTCGCAATTTCACATCACCAGATTTAGCCAGTTTATCAACATTTGAGGTTGTCATTTTTATTTGATTTGCATCTTGATTAATTTGCAAAGATGATATATCATTAATTTCTTCCACTAATGCCCTGTAAAAAAATGTATAAATAAAATATAACTAAGAAAATGTATAATTTGAATTTGTTACAATTAACAGAATGGATCAAAATAAATATGATTTTTAACATATATATAGTTTATCTGCTTTAATACGCTACTTGATGATAATAAAAACGTATCAATATACAAAAAAACCTATTTTTAAAACTAACATAGAAAAATATGGATAAGGAGATTTGTATGTGTAAAAAATTTATTTAACAATAGTTATCACAGGTAGCTCAATAACATAAAACATAAATGGGAAGGAGCATACAGATAATAACTTACATAAATTTGTTCGTCAGAATTTGCCACAATTCCGTGGCTAACATACGGCGATCAAGAAATAAGATTTAATCTCATATGTCAAAAAGATCGAGGAAGCAGGATAATTTTCGGATATGAACTTCACTTCGACATCTTAATTGGCATTCTATTATTTAACATCTCGCATTTGTTTATTGTACTGATGATGGCCAAGACTTGACCGAAACGTTTATATTTTTAATTTGAAATATATGACTTTGGCAAAAAACTTCTTGTGTATGTAGCTGTATGTTTCTTCCCATTTATGAAAAAATTTATTATTTTATTGCATAAATTTAAGTATATAAGTTTAAGTTTATAAATATATATAATCATATATAATCATCTAAGTTTATAAATATATATAATCATATATAATCATCTAAGCTTATAAATATATAAGTTTAATATAAATATATATGTGTATATATATATAAATATAATTACGGAATACGTTCACATTCAGCCTGATGCTGTGGCCAATCCTCCAATTGGCAAGCTTTGCTACAATAATATGTACGGCATTTTTCACAATGTTTTGTCGTCTTTGTAGAACAAACAGAACAGTTCTGCACTTCATTCTTAAATTTGTCTTTGGAATATTCATATAATCCCTGTATAACAAACAGTAACAGTTGTAACAGTTGATTAATTCTTTAACAGCAGATTACATTATTAATTGTATAAACATATAACATAATTTTTCAAATTTTTATATTAATTTTATATTAATTATATATTTTTTTATAATTTCATACATTCTTTCGTTGTTCATGTATGTGTGAAATATATTCTTCAACCTTAGGATGCGGTTCTGGATATTCATACAGTGTATAACCACGTCCAAGAGAAACACGTCTTTTTCCATCTGGCGTAACAGTTATTATACCTCTGAAATGAAAAAAAAAAATATATATATATATATAAAATACAATAGTTTAAACAATTATTTAATGTAAATAATTGTATTTATTTAACCTTGTCCACAATTTATTAGTACTCATGTAAGGATCCTCGAGCTCATAGATACCATGTGTTTGTGAACATGAAGGCAAAGGTGATGATTCGTAGTTTGAAAAACTACTATATGGTATTGTTATATGTGGCATTACATGCTTATGGAATGGATGCATTGGTTGGCCCATATTCTGACTAAAATAATATATATCATAAATTATCCAATTACTCTCTCATACTAAATATGTAAAGATATACCCTTCTATAATTATTATGTTAACATTTCAATAACCAACAATGATTATGCTTACTATTTTGTATCATTGTGAATAGGCGGCGGTGAATCTGCAGTATCTATCACCTTCGTTTTTTCAAAATGTACTTCTTCTCTTTTAGATCTCTCCTTTGCTAATGCCACTTTCAGGCATAATGGTTTCTTTTCATGTAGTTCTCGCATAGCAAATTCAGCTTCACGAAATGTTCCATATGTAACATAGGTCCATGTGGCACAACGAGGATGGAACATTTCCTTAATTTTGCCATACTGACTAAAAATATCTCTGATACCATCCTTAAAAATTATTAGAATTCATGTTAAATAAAGATATCTCACAATCTCATTATGGATATACAATATTGATTTGCAAAGTTATAACCTATATATATATATATGTATATAATGTACAATTTATATAAAAAAACCAATTCAAAAATTGTTTTAATAAAACGTCCCAATAATTATAATTTATAATTCAATAAATTAATAGATGTTACCTCATTTAATTCTATTGGCAAATTCGTCACATATATCGTATATTCGGCATCCATTCTGTAAATAATGTAAAATATAAAAAACTATGTACAAGATATAAATGATCATTAGGATATCGTTCTAAAGATATTACATGAAACCAATTTATAATTTCAGAGATACGTATATAATTTACTGATACCCCTCAAGTTACACAAATAAGTATGTATGTTACACAAATATTTAATATAAAGGTCTTTTTTACTATGCAATGCATCATTCCAAGCAGATTCATTTATCTAATATACGCTTTTTTTTGTTCTTACCGATCAACACCCGGCATTTGCTCGGCGTCCATATGAGCATCATGGTACGCCATATTACACACGTTACTAATTTCACGCTTGCGAAGTTGCAAACGATCAAATTTTTAATGATTGGAGGATGTAATTCATCAGTTTTATCACGCACAAAGCCGTGGAATAAACAATAAAGGACACTGATTGACCTGCAAAAGCGGCACGTTAACACACAACGTAATAGTCAGAAAGTCAAAAATATGTATTGTAGATAAACACATAGAAAGAACGTAAATAAAAAAAAGTTGTAAGGCAGCGCACACGTTTTTGTCCGTGAAAGAAAAACGCGAAAAAAAGACAATTTGAATGGACGAATCGGAATCTTCCAAGATAGCGAAAAGCAACAAACGGTTGTGTTGGTTTGGTCCAGAGAAAAAGCAGCTTAGAGCACAAAGCTCTAGATCACTCTACGACTGCGTTCGGGGAGGGCGCTATCAACGCCATTTGTGCCATACTATCCTTGTTTCACGTTTAATGGATGAAGATAGAATGACACAAATAGCGTCTCCCCGAACGGGCCCGAACGCCCCGAACCCAGCCTAAATATGCCGAAGAAGTGCATCCTTTTATCTGAGCTAATACACCGTCAACTTTCCCATTGGTTATTTCGACCGCCATTTTTGACGTGGTGGCTGTAGTCCAATAAGCGCTTAGTACCGACGAGATACTATTGAAGACGGTCGGTGCTTATGGAAGTTCGCGGGCCGGTTAAAATTTAAGTGACGAGTAAGTGATAATACAAAGTTATTATTTTCAAATTAAATACATCATTATTTAATATATCTAGTTTATTAAGATTCTATAAGTTTATTTAAGTCTTTGATAACCAATAAAATTAGTACATATTTAAAACTTTATACTAGTATAATTTTCTCTTAATATTGGATTAGAGTATTAGAGGAAAAATTTTAAACATGCGACAAAAATTTTTTAATGTATAACTTATGGGGTGATCCCGATTGATCACGGCTCGATTGGACACCACCAATCACAGCGACCGGTGCTTAGGAGCTTTGTAGTTTCAAGCGCTGTGAGCGGCTCGTGTTCAATTGAGCCGTGTCCAACTGGGTGCCACCCACAACGTTTAAAAATCACTTTATTCTTCTTGTTGTTTGTCAAATGTTAAACGAAGACAAATGATGCTCATGAGCCTTGTCAGCATGAATCGGACTACGGCCATAGTATTTCGTTGGTGGTATTAGTAATTTTTCAATATGATATAGGGAGTTTTTTTAATTCATTAATCGCATTAAGGAGCAACCACAATAGAAGGAATAAGGAATTAGGAATAAAGATTTCAACCTATCAGATGTCGGATACACCGAAATATATGGTTTCTGATAGGTTGGAATCCTTATTCCTTACTTTTAATTCCTTATTCCTTCTATTGTGGACGCACCATTATGCGCAAATGCAGCTTTTACGGAACAAAATTACATTTGCGCACAATGCGATTGATTAATCGATGAATTAATAAACTCGCCCATGGTTATATGAGATCTGTTCTTCATTCCTGCGCTATCTGAATTGATGCACTCAATGCAATAAGTTGAAGTGAAACAAATATAGACTGCTTTCCTTTTAGTCTGGATTTACAATAGATTTTTAAACCTTAAGCCATAAGAAATGGACGAATCACAATCGATTATTCTCCCCGCACTCGACTGCAATTGGCCATGTGCACCAATGCAGGAATAAAGAACAGATCTAGCATCAAGTTCGCTGAATTAAATACTATTTATATTACACAAATTATATACTAAAGGACTCTGCACAAATCTTATGCAAATTGAATTTCGGTCGAATTGCTTGAAAAATTTGATATGTTGTAGATCTTGTCGTTCCGATAAAAGTCTCCACAGGCACGACTCCCTGTAATGAACCGTTTGACCTTCACGAGGCATCAATTTTCGAAATGGACTAATACTACAATTTCTTATTTTCAACGTGTACGGTGCATTTCTACGTCATTATTTGCACTTTCTATGTATATTTTTAAATAAAAAGTTATAAGGATAATATTCACCTGATTGTTTCTCATAAATCGGGGTACTTTCGATTATTGTAAGTTTTGTATTACAAGATTCGATAAAAAAATGAATTTTTATTATTAAAAAAATATAATTTTTTTACAAGAAATAAATATTTAACCGATAAGAACTAATAGTATGAGTAGTTATGAAAACAACTGTTGTAAAAAATAACTCTAAAAAGAATTAATAGGTCGCAGAGTTCAAGCATGATCTCGTACAAAGATTCGCTGCGTACAAGCCGGATGTTCACTGAAATAAGATAGCAATATTTCGACTGGTACACGGTTTATTCAATGTAAACAAAGCGCGCAGCGGTTCTTCGTGTGCGCCTCCCGTAATCGTTCCAAAAATTCCGCGCTCCAGACGTGAAGCAACACAGCGTTGATTTAAATCTTAAAAATCAAGTTATCGACTTCAACATCCTTATAGCTTTTTTATGAGAAACAATTAAATCAATATTATTTTTGTAATTTTTTTACTTAAAAATATACACAGAAAGAGCAAATAATAATGTAGAAATGCACCATACTCGTTGAAAATAAGATATTGTAGTATTAGACCGTTTTGAAAAATAATGCCTCGTAGAGATCAAACGGTTCGTTACAGATTACAGGAGATCATGCCCGTGGAGACTTTTTATCAGGACGATAAGATCTACAACATATAAAATTTTCAAGCAATTCGACCGAAATTCAATTTCCATAAGATTTGTGCGGGGTCCTTTATTTTCCAAAATGAAAAATTTGTTCCAAAAAGTTGAAAGTAGGGTAAAAGCAGGGATTATGGAATA